AAGAGGATGAGACTGGCACCACCCTAAGGAATTCAGAGTGTTTAGTTGCTGTCATTGGGGGGTTAGAGTAAGTCTGTCTAGTAGGTGCAAGCTAATAGAGTAACTGAACTGTTCCTGCATTGTCTCGCTGAGTTTCTTGGGCTGAACCTGACAATTGTCAGCAAAAAGTCCAAATTGAGCTCTAAAATATTAAAACTAATTAACAAATATAAAACTCAACTTTCTACACCTCGATTCTTAACTATTAGCAAAAGCCCATTTAACAGGCATAAAAAGTATAAGCAAACCAAACCTAAAGTTTAATGTAACAAAAAGAGAGAGTTTCTCCTTCAAAAAAGCAACAAACTCCAACAACCCATTCGAAATGCCAACCATTCCAAAGATAACCACCCCAAATAACAACCTATCCCATTCACATAAACATTCCATATCTCAACTCTAAACTATTCACAAATATAAAGTAATTCCAGCATCCTCATACCAAAAAAAAAGACTAAAATTTAACCTAACAAAAAGAGCTAATTGCTCCTACCAAAAAACAAAACAAAACACACACACAATTAGATACTAAGCATTTAGATACTAAACGATTAGGATACAGAAAATAGCTATAAAATAAAGAGTTTAAGCACCAAATAAGCAAATCTAGTGTACCACATTTTTCCAGTCAAAATAACAGTAAATCCAAAAAGAACCATTCACAGTAACAACATGCCCATTTTAAACCTGGTCAAATAAGCCGATTTTATATTCCATTTTTTAATGTAGAACAATCTTTTTCTGTAATAGTTGTTAATTCTTATTACAAATTTCTTCCATTCTTTAAGCAGTCTCTTTCATAAATCCAACTAAAAAGAATTATTCCCATTACTCTCTGGGATTGTCTTTTTTATTTCCTTCTTAATTTTTAAAACCTCGTACAGTTTTCTCTTTGATTCTGATGGCAGATTCTCATCCAAAGTTTCATTCATATTATTCTCAAATGGAATTTGGTGTATATCTTGTTCTATAACATCTTGTTCTGAAGGCAGACTGTTCCCAAAAAGGCACGACATAGCTACCACAATTGATTCAAAGTCTCGACGCAGTACTTGGTGGAGTTCCTCGAAGATATTTCTAAACGCCATGATAATTTATTTCCCACAAACATGCATTTATTCTTTAAAAATAATTTCAAAGTCTTAATATTCAGAGTTCAACATTTTATGAGCCTTTAATCTTTTTAAAACTTTCTGTAGCCAAAACCTTGTCTTGCTTTTTGCTATTTTAAATTCTTAAAAGTTATAAAAAATAAATCTTCATTTTCTTCTATTAAGGTTTGAAGGCACTCACTCACTGGGTGTTTTCAGCCTTGTCCCTTTGAAGGTGTCTAACTTCATTAAAGCCATTAATAAGCAATTTCTAAAGGTAGTTAGCAAGGGAAATGCACGAACTCAGTGTCCTTTGAAAGGCTCCGTTTGCAGCTAGAGCAAATATTAATTCCTCTGTCTCCAGGTTCCCCCTCCTCCACCACCAGAGATCACTGTCCTGAGGTCTCTTCATGAGGAAAAGGAACAACCATAAGAAGAAACAGCTTGGGCAATCTCATGTCTCTCTCTTTTATCCAGAGAGGATCAAAAGAGCTGATTTGCTAACTGGCTCCTTAAAAAAGTCCGCAAACGTCTGCTCCGCTTTTTCATAGAGCCATCTTTAGTTGGCTGTCTTCCCCAGAAGTCCCTTGAGGATGATCTGGAGTATACTGTATGTCACTAACACTTAAGCTGTGTTTTTCCCTTTGCAAGTTCAACTGTGCTGGCTAATCTTTTTGGCAAAAATACCATAATGCCAAAGTAATGTTATTCTAGACTGTGATATATAGTAGATGTGTGCTTTGGTCTTCAGGCTAATATCCTTCAACTTGAAACCTTCCAGATATGCTGGACTGCAATGCCAATCATTCCTAGCCAACATTGATTATGATGCCTGGGGCTGATGGAAAGTGGAGTCTAAAATATTACTTGAGTATGCTAGGTTGGACAAATAGTCTAGATGGTTAGCAAAGCTCCAATACAACACAAAACTGCCAACCAACATACCTAGGAAAACAATTTCCACTGTAATTGATTTATTCATGAGCTTTAATTAATGTATAATCAGGTCTTAACCAATATAATTTACATGCATAGGCACAATACTTTGAGAATGCTGATGGAGTTCAAAGACTAAACAATAAAACAAACAACATGTTGTTAAAATCAGCAGAGCAATCTTTTTTTGGGCTGAACAGTCATACTTAGAGATCAGGACAAGGAAAGTGTTAGGGCCAAGACAAAGATGCACAGCTAAGATCAAAACTAAATGAGATGTGATTTTAATTTAAAATGAATATAATTAAGAACAGGTAGCATGATTACCCCCAATGATTCTAATGATGTTTACCTTCTCTTGAATTAAACATTATAATTCAGTGGCACCTTTTCCTCTGAAAACCTTTGGGGGGAATTTAAGAATTTTTACTCCAGTAAGTTATGTCAGTCAGTCCTTTATTTCAGGCAATGACCAGTATCCCATTTAGAAAAGCATAAAGGATAGAATATACCAGGGAAAAGAAAACAGCATATTATAAAAGAAAATTTGGTAAAAATAAAATAACAACAAAATAATCAGCCATGTCTAAATGTTCAATGTAATTGATGGCAACAAATTTTACAGATAATAAAACAAAATTTGGTCACATTCAAAGAAACTTAATTACACTGGTCAACTAATAACTATTGTACATAAAATAAATCTGTACATCTTTGAAATTTAGTTAATAAAGGGTTTATAAAACATAACCATGCATCTTCATGGAATGAACAATAAAGCAATACATGTGTTGTATCTTCTACCACCCCTTCACCACAAGGACAAAGTCTAGAAGAATACAGAATTTTCTTAAACTTTCCATCAAGTACAGTTCTCAGGAGCGCATTAAAACAGCTAAAGTTTAATGCTCTTCTAAAATTAGGAATAGTTATCTGATTTAGATAACTTGCTGGTCTAGCATAAGGAGATTGGCTACTCAAAAACACATTTCTAGGAAGAGCCGACAAATCTAATTGTCTTTCTATATCCAACACATAATATTTCAAATTATCCATCACCTTTTTGTGACCCATTATCAGTAATGCATCCCGTGAGGGGCCCTAATTCTGTAATTTTTGGTGAATAGATCTCCTCAAGGTGATTCAAGATTATCCACAAGAATTAGGGGTCCCCAGCACCCAGGGATGAACAACTTTAACCAGTGTAAAAATATACACAGCCATATTCTGGTCTCCACTCTAATCACACCTGCCCCACAGCAAAGGACTATGTCACGCATGCTTCACACTACTTAAAAAACAGACCTTAAAAAATTAGCTTATACTCTGTCAAGAAGCTATATATTCCTAGATGTGGCCAAATAAAAGCTGTGTGCAAACTTTTGCTGAGAAAATTTAAGGGCAACTATAAGCAGTGCCCCTCTGGAATAAAGGAAAGATTGCAGGACTGTGGGCAATTTGGGGGCATTTTGAACAGTATAATCTCAATGGGCACTGGGCTTACCAGAGGAGTGAAATATTCTCCTGAAATATTTAAAGATTTTAACTTGCTCAATCACATGTTCATTCAGCTGCCAAACCTGTTTGTCTTGGGCGTTTAGCAAACAGCAGGATCTTAGTTTTAGAATAATTTGTCTCCAGTGCTTCATCTTGACAGTATCCAGCTAAAGTGCACAGAACTCATTTTAAAGGAAGTGTTGTATAAAATAGCAGTACTGCCTCATCCACGTACAAAAGTACTGCAGTGTGTTTTGGAGGGTGGTATGCAAGGTGTTTAACCTAATCACCACAGAATTAATACACATATTAAACAGCAAAGATGACAGGATACAGGTCTGCCTACCTACTCTGTGGACAGGGATTTATCGGGGGTATTGTCCCTCTGTACCGCAACAAAATTTTGATCTAGAATTTTCCTACAGTTTACTCATCAACAGGAGCAAGGGTCTATTTACAGTGGAATGTTTAAGTTTGCACCACATCTTTGGCGATATAATCAAATGCAAATGTAAAATCAATGAAGGCAGCATATAGTGAAGATCCAGTTTTAGCAGTGTATTTTTCCATTAAATGCTGTAAAATTAGACAATTATCTATGATTGAATGCCTGGCTCTAAAATCTGCCTGCTTACTGGCTTTTATATATATTCTAACTCAATCTGCAAGTTTGGTTATAATAAAGATGTTTAGGATAAATCTTACTAATTACATTTAAAAGATTTATTGGATGATAACTGGCAAGTAAATCATGATTGCTTTTCTTTTATATGAGGACTATGATAGCTAAGCTCCACTCCCTTGGAATCTGTGCAATTTGGTCTATAAACGTGAACAGGGATACTAACATCGGGATTCCAGATTACCACTAATAATAATGGTTAGACCATTGCCTGGGCCTTAATAAGTTAGGAAACTTAGGTGGCCCAGAACATTTTATTTTATTTGAAACAATGACTGGATATTAGCATGCATATAATGAAAAAGATTAGAAAGCTGCTAATATGAAAATATTCTAATTATTCGCTAATCTTGGAGACTGTCCTGCCATAAACTCTATTTATGCAACTTCTGGCATCCCTGAAGGTGATGGGTGATTGGGTGGAATCCTTGGTGCTCTCTGACCTTGGTTGTTTGCTTGCAATCATTTCATTACCCAACTAGGTAACATCATTAATGCGGACTCCATAGTTCAGCCCTGAGCTACATATATTCTCTTCTATTGGACACCTAAGTGGAGTTCAGCTCAGGAGCACACATGAACCCATCATCATCATCATCATCATCATCATCATCCACTCACTAACCACCCAACTTAGGAAGAAGAGTCAACTTAATGATCTACGTCAGTGAACGTGACCATCGGCGGACTGAAGAGGGTGTCAGTCAGGCCTATAATCATGACCACTTTAAATCACACTAAAAGTAGACAGGAGAGAGCTGCATTTACTGAAGCTCACGCATGGGAGTGACTTTATCTATCCATTCCTCTTTCAAGGACGCTCGAAGAGTCACAGATGAAACATCTACAATTTCAGCACAGATTGGGAAGAAAATAGCATGCATACCCTGTAGTAATCCAATCCAAAAATCATATATGGAAGTTAGCATTCCCCAACATGTTGTCTTCAAATGTGTTGGAATGGCAGTTCTCAGAAATCACAGCTGATTGTTAGGCTGGCTGAGAATTTTGATAACTGCAGGGGCAACACATTCCAGAGTGCCAGGTTTGAGGGAAGCTTCAACAAAGAACATAGGCAACGCTTGGCATAAGCAGTTGTCTGATTAAATCACAGAACAAACAAATCACGGACATTGCCTGGCACTGCCCAATTTGTTGTTTTGGTCTCATCTCTTTTGAAGGTTCTGCCTTTGACATGCCTCTCAATCACTACGTACCATGAACTCCCCTCCCTGCACATCCATGCTTTAAATGCTCAACATGATGGAAAGCTTATATAGAAAGAGGTGGGCATATTTAACTACCTCAGGGGAGGAGCAATTGGATTGTTTCTTGAAATACACTTCAGAGACAAGCCTTTGATTTCTTCTAACTATTGCCTGATACATCTGCTCTTGCTTTCATAAGATGTTCTCCTTTGGAGTTACAAATGGGGAATGCCATTTACTTGCAGATCTTTTATCCCAGCTTTCCTTTAAAAATCTCTCTGACACCCTTTCTGTAACAGATTTAAAATGTCAATATAGGGAGCAATTAAGTGCTATTCTAGCAGTGGATGCTTTCTCCAAAGGTTATTTATTGGAATTCCAAAGGTCTTCTCATCTATAAATGTCCAAAGGGGTAATTAGATGTCAACTCAAACCCCTGGTGGTGTTAGGACAAGTGGAAAACTTC